TATATATATATATATATATATATATATATATATATATATATATATATATATATATATATATATATATATATATATATATATATTTATTTATTTATATATATATATATATATATATATATATAATAAAACATTCACATTTACAAGATAATAAAAAAGATAATAATTAATTAGTTCATTTATTCATTATGTTTCTTTCGGCTTAGTCTCTGATTTATCAGAGGTTGCCACAGTGGAATGAACCACCAACTATTCTAGCATATTTTTTTATGCAACGAATGCTCTTCTAGCTGCAACCCAGTACTGGAAGCATCCATACACTCTCGCATTCACACACACACACACACGCACACGCACACACACTCAAACACTATGGCCAATTTGGACAACACTGCCAAGAATGAAGATGAATAGTTGATTTCAAAATTAATATTGCTTTATTTGTCAGAAACTGCATTGTCAAAAAAAATAAATGAAAAAATAAATAAAATATCATGATATTAATTAAATAAATTAATTAATAAAGTAATAACATAAAAACCTGTAAACAGTTGTTTTTTTTTATTTAAATTTAATAAAAATCTAACATTTAATTTAAAAAGAGAATTCATTCATTAATTCATTTTCCGTCAGTGTACTCTCTGATTTATCAGAGGAACGCAGCAGCACGAGGGTCTTTAATAAACCTTAAAGAGCACATGTCACTCCTCTACTCAACTGTTTGCGCTGGCTGCCAGTTGCTGCTTGCATCAAATTCAAAGCTCTGATGTTTGCTTAAAGCGATTTCTGGCTGCGCCCCTTCTTATCTGCTCTCACTTCTGCAGATCTATGTGCCCTCCAGAAACTTGCGTTCTGTGAATGAACGTCGCCTCGTGGTTCCATAAAGAGGGAAGAAATCACTTTCCCGAACGCTCGACTCAATCTGCCCAGTTGGTTGAATGAACTTCCTAACTGCATCAGAATGGCAGAGTCACTCGCTGTTTTCAAAAAACGCCTAAAAACTCAACTATTTAGTTTCCACTTTCCTTACTTATTTACAAATCCCTCTCTGACTCCTCCACTTACTACAAAAAAAAAATAATTATTATTATTACTAATGTTTTGCTTCTTACACTTTCTTTACATACCTGAAACGTGCCTATAGCACTTATTCATTGTTGCTCTTATAGTTGTGTAAATTGCTTCTTTGTCTTCATTTGTAAGTCGCTTTGGATAAAAGCGTCTGCTAAATGACTAAATGTAAATGTAAATGTAGGTTGCCACAGCGCAATGAACCGGCAAGTATTCCAGCATATCTTTTAATCAGCGGATGCCCTTCCAGCTGCAACCCAGTACTGGGAAACACCATACACTCTAACACTCCCATGCACACCTAAGTGTCAACTCCTGAATTTTTTTTGTAATTACAAGACCAGAATAGACAAACTTGAACACAATTTGAACAGTAATTTCCGGTATTTTAACACTATGACTGATCTTTTGTCTTATGGCTTATGGCTCTTATGGTGCTATAAAGGGATCTTGTCTGAGGTCATTGATGATGAACTCATTTTTGTACCCTGTGTAAGAAATTGTTTTGCTCTATATTGTTTAGTGATACTTGAGTATGTTGCATGGACACAATTTTATTGCGGTTAAGACATATCCAGTAAATCCAGAGAGCGTTTTTAAGTGTTCTCTACATTTTTCCATAGATGTGTCTGTTGTTTTTTTTAATCTACTTTAAATACAACAAATAAACAACATAAATACCATAAAACATATAATAAAGTAAAAACGTAATCTTTTAAAAAGGAGATTCAAAAGTACCTAACAAATTAGCTCTCCCAACGTTTTTCTGGAGACTATTCCATAGCCTCAGTCGCCCCTGGAACAGAGCTGTTTCATGGGAACAACTGAAAGATCACTCAGGAAAGATCGCAGCAGGATTAATTTCTCTAAACCCTGCCATAAAACTGCCTAAAAGTCCATTTATGACAGTCTCCAGTGTGCATCCCTCCCACCTGTTTAAAAACAGAGTAATTATGTAGTTGCCCCCATCTACCTACTTTCTGACTGGCACTTGTTGTTGGTAATTGTGTAAATTTTGCATGCATCTGTGGTGACTGGCTGAGGTTGAATCTGGCACAGGCATCGCCCCTACTGATTCCAGCTGTCAGCAGTGTCTATTAACAATGATAAATCACTCCCCTACTTCTCAATCCAATCATACAGACCACAGCAGGCCTTAGATCTGGTCACCTCTGACTAAATGATTTTTGGACAGCGTGGGGCAGTGCGCCAAAGCACCCGCTCTATGCTTTTGTGTTAGATTACGCTATTAGCACACCGGATTCTGAGCTTTACATCTTGCAACCTGGCCTTGTAATTGTGGAACATGTTACTCTAATGATTAAGCAGCATTTACACAACCATATAACGTGTTTGGCAGCTCTTTGTATTTATAATGACATGCAAAAGTCAGAAACAAAAAAACATTTGCTTTCAGAATTTAAAGAGCCAGATCACCTAAAAAGTGATTTTACACATAATCTAGGGGTTTTTTGGGTTTATAAACCGCAAAAATCAGTTTAAAACACTGTGTAAAATTTGTAAAAATATTAAAAAGCCTTTATTGATATGGCTATTCCTTAAAACTGTGCCTACAAGTTTCTGCAAACAACTGCCTCAATTAAGGTAACAGTGATTAGGTGTTTGGAGTTTCTTTTGAATGCTATGGCCTCATGACTCATTAGAATATCTAAACAATACTAAAATAATATATCAAACACAAAGTCAACTCAACAATCATTATTATTTATTATTTGTACACTATAATTGTTTATTTGTCATAATTTGTGGTTCATATATGGATGTGAATATATATATATATATATATATATATATATATAAATATATTAGGGATGCTCAATATGGATTTTTTTGGCCAATACCGATAACCAATAATTCTACAGACTAGGAGGGCGATAGCCGATATGTCTAGGCCGATAATTATAAATATTTCAAAATGTTTTATTGTTATACAGCAAACTTCAGAAAGATTGAACTGCTCTTATGAACTGAATAGTCTATACTCAAGGCAAAAAAGACCTATATTCACCAATATTCACGATTTCACACATATCAGCATGCAAAAAATAAATAACTTAATTTTCTTCATAGCGAATTAACATGCAATTTGAAATATATTTTAATTAAGATCAAAATGAAAGAGCTTAGGACTGAAACCAGCTCAAATGTTCTTGAATAAAACGTGTTACAGTGATGTACATATGTACAAATACTGTACGTAATGTCCGAAAAAAGCCTTTTTTTTAAGAGGTGTTTTGACAATTCTGAGCCACGAAAATCTAGATGCATAGATTCATCCTATTTGGCGTTTTAGATTCTTTTGAACAGATGCTGCAGTGCATGTCAATCAGACTACGATTCTTTGTCCATTCTTGCTGTCAATAAACCGCTGTGAAGGACAGCTCTCACCCACGTTTGTTATAATGAATATGAATATTCCAATCAAACTGAATACAATCGTACATCAACAACACATGGCAAGCAAAGTGTTGATAATAACAAATAATCATATTAGATTAAAAACAGCCCTGTTGTTTAGTACATGTGCAGGGGTTTGGTTTGTGTGTGTTTGTTGTTGAAGCGGAGAGGGAGACAGAAAAGAGGAGCGTTTTTTTCGCAATGAGATTTTCAGCGGTGATTGGGCCAAGTTACATGTGTCCTTGTTCATTCATGGGCTGCAATGGAAAAAGAAGTTCACCCCGAAACTAATATTATTCGGCCCTGGAGTAATAAGTGAATCTCCCCTGCTATCTCTAACACAACAAAGAGACAGAGCAGGAAAGGTTTACACATGTAATATTTTTTCCTGAGGCGATTTGAAGCAAAATACACAATGACACTCAATCAAACATATCTAAAATGATGAGGAACATGGTTACTTACTGAGTTATTAATGCACAGCAATACCACATGAAGAAATGACGTACTTTTAAGGAATAAACAATGTGAGGAGAGCTCCATTACAGTACACTGAACAAGTCTGAACATGTTCCACCCACGAGTGCGTGAGGCAGGCAGGTCTGTACAATTACGTAATTTATCGGCTTAAAGATATTGGCCTAATTTAGACATTGGATCGATAAAGACAATCTTAAAAATAGCATTTATCGTCCGATAACGATATGGCCACCGATATATCGTGCATCCGTAATATATATATATATATATATATATATATATATATATATATATATATATATATATATATATATATATATATATATATATATATATATATATATATATATATATATATATATATATATATATATATATATATATATATATATATATATATATATATATATATATATATATATATATATATATATATATATATATATATATATATATATATATATATATATATATATATATATATATATATATATATATATATATATATATAAATATATATATATATATATATATATATATATATAT